CCCCCCCCCCTTCAAGTGACTCCCTCTCCACGCCCGTGACGTCACACACAAGTAAAGCGGCATCACCCGGTGGTGCGCACTGTTTTGGTGTCTCCTCTTTTTTTCCACAAGAGGGAGCCAGTGGACAGCCAGCCCAGAAAAAAAAAAAATGTACTCTTCGAAGGAGGAAGACGCGAGTCAATATCGAGCAAAATGTGACGCACTGCAGCTTTGAAGGGAAATGACACGTAAATGATGGCATGGAATTCCGTAATCTTAATGATTAAAAAAAAAAGAAGAAGAAGAAGAAATCACAGTGAAATTGCAATAATCACCTGCCAATTTTTTTTTCTTTTATCTCTGATACTAGACCAAATTTGTCATCATTGAAATGAAGATTGAAAAACATTCAAAAGAATGCACTTTGTAATTTTCGAATGACATAAAATGTCATTTCCTAGAAGGAAATTTCTCGTATAGTGATGATGATGATGATCGTAATTTTTCAAAATTTCAATTAGTTTTTCAGACTTATAACTTTTTTGAAAAAGAGAGAACCTTTCTTCAACATTTAATGTAAATAATGCATTTTGAATTTTAGTCATTTAAGTGTGTGTGCGTGTGTGTGTGTGTGTGTGTGTGTGTGTGTGTGTGTGTGTGTGTGTGTGTGTGGAGATAATTTGTATTCTTGGGGCGGGGGGGGGGGGTATGTGCTCCCTTTTGCCTAATTTTTGAATGCACGCTTTGGAGAAGTACCAAGACAGGGCCTTCTGCTGAAGGTGTGTGTTTCCATCTGCAGGGACCATCTGAGTGCCCGAAAGGGGGCTTGTCCGCGCGCGCCGTCTTCCAAGAAGCCAAGTTTTAAACGACAAGTAGCACACTTTACATCAGACAGCAGCAAAATTATTCTCCTTTTTTTTTTTGTTTGTCACAGCAATCGGATGTTCAATTCAGATTTCCTCTAACATGACTTAACGAATTCATGTCACCGTGTTTTTATACCTACATGTATTAAATTGCTCTGACGATTTTACCGGTACTAGTTTTGAAAGATTTTGTCAACCCCAAAAGCATTGATGACCGATTTGAAGAGAAAATGTATGTATACACACACTGCTTCACCTTTAACCTTCCCGGTTGAAGGTGAAGCCCCCTCCCGCGCTCCCCGGAAAGTCTCGCTGTCAGTCCGGAGGACGCGGCGCGGATGTCGGCTCGATGCTGAGGACAACCGTTGGCCGCCGTTGTTTATTTGCGCGGCCTTGACTGACAGGCGATCGCTAGGAAGGTCGAAGTGGGACGAGCATCGGAACTGGCTGCGGTGCGGGCGGGGACGGGGGGGGGGGTTTGCTAATTGCAGCTTGCATTGATGAGTGCGCGAAGCCAGTCATTCAATAGCGACATGGAGACAATTGCAACGGTGTGTATTTACGGTCACGTAAATTGGCATGAAGGCTAACACGATGGGAAACGGCAAAATCGCGTGTTATCAGCACATTTTCGCTCTTGGCAAAATGCTGTTTTCCTTCTAAAAATTCAGCGAATGGCTGAAATGGCTTTCCGTTGATCTCAACTGCGTAAGGTGATTTGAGACTCGTCTCGTACTCCAAGGCCGCAGCGTCTGAAGCAACGTCCGCCGGCTGAATGCTGACATCTAACGTGAAACCTCATGGTTGGGCTTATGGAGTGAGAAGAGCTAAAAAAATTTGAGAGAGAGCGGCGACGCCGAAGATGATCTGCCGTCGAGCGGTGGAACGCTCCAGTTTTCTTTTGGACACGTCCAAAAGAAAGAAAAAGCAGCCTGTCCTGTACTCGAGCTTGTCCATCACGTGCCTCCGGCTTGTCATCGAGCTTTTATTTCCCGCCTTCGCCAAGCAAGCAAGTTTCTGCCGGTCCCACTTCATCGCACCCGTGCTCTCGCCCGCGTCGGCTCGCTTGCTCACTTGATTGGACTCTCCTGCTGTCCGCCCCTCTGCGACCCGCTGACCCGCCGACAACTATAAATATTTATTTGCGTCAGCTTGTCGGTAAAAATAACCGTCTTAAAACGGCGTGTCCTGGAGCGGCTCCAGTCGAGTCAGCATTTGAGGGAGCCCCAGCGCGGCGACATGTTTGATTGCTTTTTTGGCCCACCCGAAACAGGAGACGCTTAGCCGCGGCGTCCTCTGGCTCCTCAAACACGGATTTGCGGGGAAACCGACGGCAGTCTTGTGAATCGGACGCACCAAACAAAGTTTTTCAGAGTAAAAAAAAAAAAAATGTTGATAGTAGCCACTATAAATGGTCCCGCCCTGGTCCCCACACACGCTCACTTTCACATGAGGTTCACCCACTCACGGCCGACAACCGGGCACTCGTGTAAGCGGCCACGGCAGCCCGGGCCCGATCCACGCACTCGTTGTCAAGTTTGAGAAAATTCCGGCCTCGGCGCACGTTTGCCTTTCTCTCTGCGCCGCATGTGCGCACACTCACGGCTGACAACGAGGCACTCTAACTTGGCCGGGCCACCCCGAGGCCTCTGTCCGCGTTATGGCCGCCATGTCGGCCAAATTATTAAGTACACATGCTCAATCGAGTACTGTCCAATGCGGGACATTTCCCTAAAACGGCGTTAAGACGTGAAATAAAATCAAACGCAGAGCGTGGCCACTTGGGGGCAGTATACGTACGACAGACATATGGACTTGGATGAAGAAGACTGGCATCTGCTGACATTTTAAAGCATGTTACAAATGTGTTTTTCTCCCAAAATGTGACTTGTGTCCACCGACTGCCCAGAGTTGCTCTCGGTTCTCTTGCGCTGTTTTTTTTTTTTTTGGGTTTTTTTTTTTACGTCTTTGTTTTTATTTTTCAAACAGACTCAAGTTTC